CTTCAAGGCGCGTTACGTTGCACGAGGCTTCAGTCAGCGAGAGGGAGTTGACTTCTTCCAGACCTTCTTCCAGACCTTCTCCCCGACCCCGAGGATGACCACTCTTCGGGTTCTGCTGCACGTCGCCGCTCAGCGTGACTACGAGCTCCACTCTCTTGACTTCAGCACTGCTTTCCTACAAGGCAGCCTGCACGAGGAGATCTGGCTGCGCCGCCCACCTGGCTTCACTGGGTCGTTCCCTCCTGGTACCCAGTGGAGCCTCCGGCGGCCAGTCTACGGTCTCCGACAGGCGCCACGTGAGTGGCACGACACACTGAGGACTACACTTGCGGCTCTTGGGTTCGCTCCTTCTACTGCTGACCCGTCGCTGTTTCTACGCACCGACACCTCGCTGCCGCCGTTCTACATCCTCGTGTATGTCGACGACTTGGTCTTTGCCACTGCAGACACTGCGGCACTCGCCCACGTGAAGTCGGAGCTGCAGAAGAGACACACGGGACCTGGGTGAACTGACAAGCTATCTTGGCTTGCGGATCACCCGGGACAGAGCACGGCGCACCATCACCTTGACTCAGTCACACATGGTGCAGCAGGTCCTTCAGCGCTTCCGCTTCACGTACTCCTCGCCTCAGGCCACTCCTCTGCCTACCGGTCACTCGCTCTCAGCTCTGCCTTCGGATGAGTCCGTAGAGCCGAGTGGCCCGTATCCAGAGCTTGTGGGCTGCCTCATGTACCTAATGACCTGCACTCGACCTGACCTTGCATACCCTCTTAGCATCCTTGCACGCTATGTCGCTCCTGGCCGTCACCGGAAGGAGCACATGGATGCCGCTAAGAGGGTGTTGCGCTACTTGTGCAGTACGTCGGGCATGGGGCTAGTGCTTGGAGGACGAGACCGAGTTGTACTCACTGGGCACTCAGACGCGTCTTGGGCTGACGACCAGGCTACTCAGCGGTCGTCTCAGGGTTACACCTTCAGCCTTGGCTCTGGTTCAGTTTCTTGGCGTTCTACACGCTCGTCTTCTGTTCTCAGCTCCAGTTGTGAGGCTGAGATCTACGCCACAGCCATGGCTGCACAGGAGTTACGCTGGCTCACCTACCTGCTGACCGACTTGGGAGAGCGGCCTCGTTCTCCTCCAGTGCTGTACGTCGACAACAAGGCTGCCATTGCCTTGTGTGAGGAGCACAGACTGGAGCACAGAACGAAGCATATCGCTCTGCGCTACTTCCTTGCTCGAGAGCTGCAGCAGCGCGGTCAGCTTCGTCTGCGTTACGTGGCCACTCGGGCCAACACTGCTGATGTGTTCACCAAGGCGCTTCAGCCTTGTGACCATCAGCGCTTCTGTACTGTTCTAGGCCTCGTGCCTACTGGGCCTCACTTGCTTACTTCTTGACTCTGCTTGTACTGTGATCTCTATATATATACCTGCTTGTTTACTCTTGCTAGGTTGTGATCACTGTATCTCTTGTTATACTATCAACCTGCATGTGAACTGGTCTTGTGACCACTTGCTTGTGCTCAGAATTTGTGTGGTTTCTTTGAGATACACCCTGAGCTTGCTTTGCTTTGCTTTGACTGGTCTTGTGACCATCTGGTTGTCTCCCACTTAGCCTATGGGGGTGTGTCAAACATTATATGTTTATATTGTGTAGGCTATAGTGGGTTTAGCCTTAGGGGGTACAGCTTTGTTAGGGTTTCCTACTTGTATCCCCCTCCTACCTAGTTTCATCCATTCTCGTTCTATTCTAGATTCTAACAATGCATCGCCCGACTCGACTGGACATCCGTTGAGTGGGCACTCGCCGAGTTGGTGATTCGACACAGCACACCTGACTCGTCTCTAGTCAGTCAACTAGGCTGTCACGGCCATTTCCCGCACTTACCTGGGTCAAGCATCATTTTGCTCAGAATCTGGATCTCGCATTTTCAGACCCGATCCCGGCCTTATCTCGTAATTTCTTGAAGTCAAGATGTTCGACTGCGCTTTCTGATTCGCTAGGTCGTCTCAACCTTAGCACCTAATCAGCTTCAGGTCGGTTCCTACCTAGACTCGCGAGTTGCCTCGCGTCAGTCATAGCCGAGTCTCAGCAGAGTCGACTCGAGTTTCCCTGTGCACATGTCTAGGTCAGTCACCGCATAGATTCGTCACAAGCTAAGGCGGATCACAGCGTAGGTAGGTGAGTGTATAAACGATGACGAGGAAAGACAACACGGGAAGGGGCCGGGACAACAACGCTAAGTGGGACAAGACGGCGTCAAGGGGCTCTGCTAGTTCATGGGTTGTGCAGAACTCGTAGCGACTCGGTATGTAACCTAAAGTTGCACATTGCCCCTGACAGAAGTACGAGCAACACAATCAGAGGGCTGACTGGGGGAAACTAAAAGTGGAGCTTACCTCTTTTTAGGGTTTCTTAGACTATCTCGTTTCCGCGGCCCTCGAAGTGATTTAGTAATGGCGCGAAGCAATTCGATCTCTAGTGCGTGCTGCGTGATGGCGAGGCTTGGCGATTCAAGAGTGCTCAAGGAAGGTAGGAAAAGAGTTGGGCGGCCCGGGAAAAGCCGAGGGGAAACGACGCGCGGAAGATTGTACGGCGCCGCCGTTGGTACTAATTTTGTAGAGGTGTTCTGAGTAACATTTTTTTTCACTACGCGCTCTTAGTCATCATGCGTCACGACACACTGGTGGACACAAGCCTTTCCGTTTGTTTGAGGCGTACGGGTTGAAAGCTGTAATGATTTTACAGCAGATTTACTCCGAAATGACGAGATAGTGCTATCTTAGGGCTGCCTTTTACACGGGCACAACCTCGCTAGGCGAAATCTTCGTTGGCAAGGTTTGGGGGAAGGCAGAATCGAACAGTTCGGAAGCGACACGGCTCAGGTTCGGTTTCGGCAACTCGGCTGAGCCTGATCTTCCTTCATGTTAGGGGCTTCGTACGTTTCGTAAACAGATCTGGTAACCCCTGAAATTTCGCCCCCACAAACCGAATCTGAGCGCACAGACAGACCTCTGAAGTCCCCGCCTTCATCATTTTCCTTAGCCGAACCTGTGTGCCAGACGTACACCCTTTGCTTCGGCGCGGCGAAGCTGGGGCGGCTGAGCCAGCCGTACCTTCTAGGGACGGTTGCATTGAGGGTGTATTTTTCGCCTGTTCTCTGCGAACTCGGAACCTCACGGGGTTTGGAGCTTCGCACAATGCCGTAACGACATGAACGATGTCGGTAACCCTATGAAGCATGCCCCCAGCAGGCAGAACCTAATCCAAACCAACACGCCTCCGCGGTCTCCACTGTATTCTCCATACTAGTGCTCTTTACGTTCGAGGCCGTGCTGTGCGATGTCGTTCAACTATTTCGAGGCGCCTAGAAATTAGACGATATGCTTCACTGTCGATCTGACGTGTCTCGACGTGTTTAGCAGTGTGACTATTGCACCCCTCCCAAGGTCCGCGTAGTGCTTTCCTTTCGCCACGCTGCGATTTCGCCATGTCTCTCCGTCATCTCGCAATGTCACGCCGTCATTTTGCCGCGTCGCGCTGCCATGTCGGCATGTCAAGCCCCCATTTCGCCATGTCACACCGTCATTTCGCCGCATCGCGCTGCGATGTCGCCATGTCACGCACCCATTTCGTCACTCTGCCACCTTGCCATGTAGTGCCGCCATCTCGCTTGTCACGCCTCCATTTCGTCATGTCACATCGTCATTTCGCCGCGTCGCGCTGGCATGTCGCCATGTCAAGCCCTCGCCATGTCACGAAGTCATTTCCGCACGTCATCGCCGCCACTCCGCCATGTCACGCCTTCAGTTCGCCTCGTCGCGCTACCTTTCCCCACTTCGCGCCGCCACTTCGCCACGTCGCGCCGCCATTCATCTAGTAGAGATTGGCAAACGGAAGTTTGCCCCAAATCAGAACGCAATCCTGCTCGTTAAAGAGTCGCTCCAAGCGCATTTCATCCATTTCCCTTGAGCTCTTTTCGTTTCTCAAGGGAGCCCGCCGCCATCCCACTAGCGTGCACCTGCAGTCCGCTGTGTGTTGCGTTGCGGCCATGTCATGGCCTGGTGATCCGGCGCTATGGTCTTTTCTGCTGCGCTCGGATCTGGTCTGGTCTGGTCCGCTCTCGTCGTGTCCGCTCTGCCGTGGTGTTTGCTTGTCGGCAGGTGAGAGCACTGAGACGGGAGGTGAGTGATTTAGCAGCAGCGTGGAAGTTGTAACGCGGCGATCACCGGCCGGGAAAGAAAGGAACATCATGCGTTGCTGCTCTATTGCACAGGAGTCTCAGAACCCTCCCCCTCTGCCTTTCGTCCCTCCCCCAAACCCTGTGCAGCAGGCGTGCCAGCATGCGTGGGGAAGGGCGTTCAAAGGGTGGCAGGTGGGAGCGATGTGTGCGCCGTATGGGCCGGCTTCGCTCCGCATGCTCAGTCAGAAGATCGAGCGCCGTATCTAGTGTTGTATCAGCGCCGTATCAAGTGTTGTATCGAGTGCCGTATCAAGTGTTGTATCGAGCGCCGTATCAAGTGTTGTATCGAGCGCCGTATCAAGTGCTGTATCGAGCGCTGCGACCGGCGGGTTTGAATTGAAATCGCCCGTTCCAGCGTCCCGCGAAACGCGCTTGGCTGGAAGAAACTGATGCCGCCACGCGCAGCTCAGAGGATTTGCCGATAATGTATTCGCCGCGCGAGATGATCCGGGATGCAAGCAAAGCCATTGTCGATCGACAGGTTTAGAAGAGCTGAAGGCCTGGAGGAGCGACTCTCTTTTAAAGGCAGCTTGATGGGTTCCGGATGCGCGTCGCAGCGCAGCGCCATTGAGACGCGATGCACTTGCAATTGACCCGATGCGCCGCGTTTTCCCAAGTGACACTTCGCAGCAACGAGCTGGGGTGCAGCCTAGCCCGGGAACCTCGATGCAGCCTAGCCAGGGAACCTCGATGCAGCCTAGCCAGGGAACCTCGATGCAGCCTAGCCCGGGAACTTCCACAAGCATAGCGCTCTGCCTGTCTACTCTTTCCGGCTCGCGCCTCTACCTTCCAATCTGCCCCCCTCCACTCCACTCCCCCATTCCCCCTTCTCCCCCGTCTCCTCTCCTCCCTTTCCACCTCCGGCAGGAGGTGGTGGAGATGGAAGAGGTGGTGGGTGGCGTGGAGTGGACTTACAGCAAGCGAGAAGGAGAGCTCTGCACCTGAGGAGCTCTGCACCTGAGGAGCTCAGCACTACTATATCGTTTTGAGACGTCTCAAAACGAGAAGGAGAGCTCTGCACCTGAGGAGCTCAGCACTACTCTATCGTTTTTGTGCACATGATACATCATGAGGATGGGCTGGGTCGCGGGCACAGCACAGCTGGGCTGAGTTATTTTACGTGGGCCAGCCTGGCCTGGCACTCTGGTCCGGATGTGCCTCGGTGACATGTCAAAAAACACATTTTGAGAATTCTCAAAAAACACATGTGTTGAGAGGCGAATGACTGTTGCTGCCGTGCATTATTGCTCCTTCCCATTGGCCCTCCTCCCTCCCATCTTTCCTGTCTGTTCTCTTCGTTCACACTCTTCTAATGTGCGTCGGAGCTGACAGGTTGTTTGTGACCCCATGCCTGCCTGCCTCCATTGCTGTCCTTGCCTGCTTTCTGAGCCTCCTCCATCCCGTCCTCCCTCCCGTCCTCCTTCCTCTCACACTAAGCTAATGTGCTTCGGTGCAGACATTATGTTCATGTGCTCATGCATGCGTCCCTTGCTGCCCTGCTTTCATACCCCCTCCCCACCCTTGTGGGTCCTCCCTTCCCCTCTCTTAAGCGGCGCCGTGCCCACTGGTGCAGACAGTGTGTTGGTCGGTACGTGGCACGACCTGGCGCTGGGATTGAGGAAGGAAGACTAGCTGAGGCGAGGCAAGGAGGCAGCAGAGCCGGCAAGTGATGCCAAGATTTTTGAGGCGCCTCAAAAATAGATCCCGCGCAGCCCCATGCATGGTGAATGGGGTGGGTGGGTGGATGGATGGGTGGATGGGTGGATGGGGTGGGTGAATGGGGTGGGTGAATGGGGTGGGTGAATGGGGTGGGTGAATGGGGTGGGTGAATGGGGTGGGTGAATGGGGTGGGTGAATGGGGTGGGTGAATGGGGTGGGTGAATGGGGTGGGTGAATGGGGTGGGTGAATGGGGTGGGTGAATGGGGTGGGTGAATGGGGTGGGTGAATGGGGTGGGTGGGTGGATGGGGTGGGTGGATGGGGTGGGTGAATGGGGTGGGTGGATGGGGTGGGTGGATGGGGTGGGTGAATGGGGTGGGTGGATGGGGTGGGTGGGTGGATGGGGTGGGTGGATGGGGTGGGTGAATGGGGTGGGTGGATGGGGTGGGTGGGTGGATGGGGTGGGTGAATGGGGTGGGTGGATGGGGTGGGTGGATGGGGTGGGTGGATGGGGTGGGTGAATGGGGTGGGTGAGGTGGGTGGATGGGGTGGGTGGATGGGGTGGGTGGATGGGGTGGGTGAATGGGGTGGGTGAATGGGGTAGGTGGATGGGGTGGGTGGATGGGGTGGGTGGATGGGGTGGGTGGATGGGGTGGGTGGATGGGGTGGGTGAATGGGGTGGGTGAATGGGGTGGGTGGATGGGGTGGGTGGGTGGATGGGGTGGGTGGATGGGGTGGGTGAATGGGGTGGGTGGATGGGGCGGGTGGATGGGGTGGGTGAATGGGGTGGGTGGATGGGGTGGGTGGGTGGATGGGGTGGGTGAATGGGGTGGGTGGATGGGGTGGGTGAATGGGGTGGGTGGATGGGGCGGGTGGATGGGGTGGGTGAATGGGGTGGGTGGATGGGGTGGGTGGATGGGGTGGGTGAATGGGGTGGGTGGATGGGGTGGGTGGATGGGGTGGGTGGATGGGGTGGGTGAATGGGGTGGGTGAGGTGGGTGGATGGGGTGGGTGGATGGGGTGGGTGGATGGGGTGGGTGAATGGGGTGGGTGAATGGGGTGGGTGGATGGGGTGGGTGGATGGGGTGGGTGGATGGGGTGGGTGGATGGGGTGGGTGGATGGGGTGGGTGGATGGGGTGGGTGAATGGGGTGGGTGGATGGGGTGGGTGGATGGGGTGGGTGGATGGGGTGGGTGGATGGGGTGGGTGGATGGGGCGGGTGGATGGGGTGGGTGAATGGGGTGGGTGGATGGGGTGGGTGGGTGGGGTGGGTGGATGGGTGAATGGGGTGGGTGGATGGGGCGGGTGGATGGGGTGGGTGAATGGGGTGGGTGGACGGGGTGGGTGGATGGGGTGGGTGAATGGGGTGGGTGGATGGGGTGGGTGGATGGGGTGGGTGGATGGGGTGGGTGGATGGGGTGGGTGAATGGGGTGGGTGAGGTGGGTGGATGGGGTGGGTGGATGGGGTGGGTGGATGGGGTGGGTGGATGGGGTGGGTGAATGGGGTGGGTGAATGGGGTGGGTGGATGGGGTGGGTAGGTGGATGGGGTGGGTGGATGGGGTGGGTGGATGGGGTGGGTGGATGGGGTGGGTGGATGGGGTGGGTGGATGGGGTGGGTGAATGGGGTGGGTGGATGGGGTGGGTGGATGGGGTGGGTGAATTGGGTGGGTGGGTGGATGGGGTGGGTGGATGGGGTGGGTGAATGGGGTGGGTGGATGGGGTGGGTGGATGGGGTGGGTGGATGGGGTGGGTGAATTGGGTGGGTGGATGGGGTGGGTGGGTGGATGGGGTGGGTGGATGGGGTGGGTGAATGGGGCGGGTGGATGGGGCGGGTGGATGGGGTGGGTGAATGGGGTGGGTGGATGGGGTGGGTGGGTGGATGGGGTGGGTGAATGGGGTGGGTGGATGGGGTGGGTGGATGGGGTGGGTGAATGGGGTGGGTGGATGGGGTGGGTGGATGGGGTGGGTGGATGGGGTGGGTGAATGGGGTGGGTGAATGGGGTGGGTGGATGGGGTGGGTGGGTGGATGGGGTGGGTGGATGGGGTGGGTGGATGGGGTGGGTGGATGGGGTGGGTGGATGGGGTGGGTGAATGGGGTGGGTGGATGGGGTGGGTGGATGGGGTGGGTGAATGGGGTGGGTGAATGGGGTGGATGGGTGGATGGGTGGATGGCTGGGTGCTGTGTGCGCATGGGCATGGGTGGGTGGGTGGGTTGATGGGTGAGGGCGATGCATGCATGCGCATGGAGTGGTCATGGTGTGGTGTGTTCATGGTGTGCGCATGGTGTGTGTATGGTGTATGGATGCATGGTGTGTGCATGGGGTGTGATTTGTGTGGATGATTTACCATGCATGGTTTTCCAATGCAATCGTGCTGTCAATATGGTACCCGTGAATGCTTAAATGGTTGGTACATTCCTTTTCATTCAGTTTATGTGGATGTGTGTGGGAGCACTCATGGACAATGCCGGCCTTCCCTACCAGCTGTCAGCACTCCCCTCTTCTCACCCTTATTGTCATGGCTTGTCTCCCCTCCTCCCCTCCGTTCCCTTTGCCCACCTTTCCTTTACCCCCCACCAGCTGGACAGCCACATCGACTCACACATGCCACACTTTTTACCTTCCCCGCACTCCCCGTTTCTCACCCATTTTTCCCTTCTCCTCCCTTCACCTCCCCCCTTCCTCCCCCTCCCCCTCCCCTCCCCGCTCCCCCTCCCTCCCCCGCCCTCTCCCCCCTTTTCTCCCTATCCCATACTCCCTTCTCCCACCAGCTCAACAATTGCGTCAACTTACACGTGCCTTGGTTCATTGGGGGCGATCCACGGAGGGCAACGGGACTCCCTTCTTACCAGCTGGATCGCTGCAGCCTGGATCAACTCACATGTGCCTCGATGCACGGAGAGTGCGGCAGTTGGTTCTGATTGAAGAAGTGCGGCAGTTGGTTCTGATTGAAGAAGTGCGGCAGTTGGTTCTGATCGAGACGTCTCAAAACACTTCTTCAATCACGTGAGAGTGCGGCAGTTGGTTCTGAATCTCCTGCTCAACACGATCCGACGGCAGTGCAGCTCTGAGTGCAGCAGATATTATTTCCTGGCGCCTAAAAAAACTACAAGTTCTTAAAGAAAATAAATATTCCGACGTTCACGGCTCATCTCGTATCTCATCCCCACGCCTCATTTCCACACCTCAACCCATGCCTCATCCCGTATCTCGTCCGATAGCTCATCCCATTATCCCATATACACACCCATTTGCACTCTCGTTTCTGTAACACTTTCTTTCCTCAGTCCCTTCCCTCCCTAGCGTGCAGAAGCGGGGTTGATAGTAACTAGCCATGGGGTTGGTAGTAACCAGCCATGGGGTTGCATTGAGTGGAAAGGGTGTGGCTGTAGTTAGGAGGTGCAGTTGTGGCAGCAACTGGATTTTGCTGTCTTCCATTCATGCTCAGATTGACAACAGGCTCAAGTGGGACAAATTCCTCCTTGCCCCGAGAGTCTGACCTCCGTAACTAGTTATCCGTATACAGCATCTCAATCTTGTTAGAGACTAAGGACGGAGTCTATGAAGATTAAGGGCCGAAATATCTTAAAATCGTCAACTATAATTCAGGACAGAAAAGTTGTCGTCACGAGAAACGTCGTCGACGATTAACGCACAATTAGAATTCTCTCAAACTCGAGTATGTTGTAGCCCTTCACCGTGGCTATCTTTCCCAATTTGAATAGTATCAAAATATGGAGTATAGCTTGAGTTATGAACTTCGGCGCACTAGGGGGTATGCTGCCATAGAAAACGTAACTCAATAACAATAATCTCACAAGTTCACACAAGAAAGTTAGAGTAGCAATAGAACCAGGTAGGAGGGGATGAGAAGGACGAGAGGGAAGGTCCCAAGGGAGTCCCCAACCAAGGACACCCCATACCACACAATTCCCCTCTCTATAGGCACCCCAACTTTGACATTTGTCACTTTCCCAACTCATGCCATCCACCTCACCCAACTTGGCCACACTTGCCAACCTGGTTTGGCACCTCCCAACCACTTGGCAGCATCTACAGTGATGTTGACGAATTTCCCAACCCCCAAGAGTCTGTACTCCTTATGGAGTCAACACCACAACTTCCCATAGTCACCACAACCAAATATCAAAAGCATACGAACTTCCAACGTTCGTAACTTTCTTGTTCGTGCTCCGATTGAAGTGATACTTGGTTCGTCGGAAAGCACTTGAGCAGAGGAGTCACTTCAGATATCTGCTCAAGCCAAATAACATTCACACACACTCAGAAAAACCAAAACAACACCAAACACACATTCTTACACACGCTCACACCACGCATGCAACACACGAACATATGATGGGAGGCAGACAGACGTGAATGCAAATGATAGCATCACATAACAAATCTGAGGTCAAGGAACAAGTACACATGTACTTCCTACCTGTGTACAGGCAAAGCTTGCTCAGCCACCAACTTGCAAACACCTCTACTCAATTTACTCCTTCCCTACAAGTCTCTCCTCGGAAGCTGTTGATGTCCCTTTCCCCCTTCATCAGTCTCAACCACGCTACCCACCACGCACACATCCTCAGTACCAACCCAATTCCCCTCCCCTCTCCACTTCCCCTTCCCTGTCCACCCTGCTACTGACTGCTTCCCCCTCCATCAAAAGAATCATGGCCAGCAATTTCAATGCAGCTCTCTTCATGCACACTGTAGTCTCTTTCCCAAACAGCCCTGCATCTGCTTCTGCATGCATGCCTCCCCTCTTCAGGCTTCCCAACCAAGACACAGCCACGTCCCCCCTCACCTCACCTACCACTCCATCATCACACCCTGCCAACCTATCTGCCTATCAGCTTGCGTAAACCGTCGTTTTGAACGCAACTTCCAAATGGTGTCCAGAGTTCTGTCAGCTTGGTCAAGGAAGTCAGCTGCTGCAGCCCATCATCAGTGACTGACGTGTGATCCAAATCAAGCCTCTCAAGCTCTGTCAGCCTCCCCACATGCACCATGCCAGCACTCGTCACCCCCCCGCACTTAGAAAGCCATAACACTTTGAGAGAGGAGAGACCTGTCAAGTGCGAGAGACCAGCATCGGTCACTTTGGTCCGGTGGAGGAAGAGGGTTTCGAGATTGGTCAAGGAACCAATACCTTCTAAGGCACTGTCTGAGACGACCGTGCCATCCAGGTCTAGCTTCGCCAGCTGTGGCAGCCTGTAGAGGTGCTTGATGCCCTCTGCACTGAAGCCTGAGGTAGACGACAGGTCAATGCGCGTCAGGTGGGTTATGGTGGACACAAGGTGGAGGATGTCGCGGGAGAGACTGTTGAGATTACTCAGCTTCAATTGGCTCGCTTGTGATGCTGCCTTAATTGCCTGAAGCAAATGGGTGGAGAGGGATTACATGACAATGACAATACATGGCATGTGGAACAATGAAAGCCCCGGGGAAAAGGATCCCAACACTCACCTTCAATGCATTCTTTCGATCGACTTCGCTCTCCCTCATTTCCAACTCAATATTCAGCTTCATCTCTTGAACGTTCTGCCATTCTTTACAAGCCACCAAGTCCTCCATGGCATGTGGCCAATTCAACTCCTGCACCTCCCTCCTCTCCTCCCTCTCCCTCGCCAACTCTGCTCTCATCTCATCCATTTCCTTTCTAACCTCCTCTCTTAGCTGTCTCAAACCTAATTCCATTCTTCTCTCAGCCATATCCCATTGCTTCATCACAGCCTCCTTGTGTGCAACCAGCTCCCACTTCACTGCATTCACCTCTCCTTTCACTGCATTCACCTCTCCTTTCACTGCATTCACCTCTCCTTTCACTGCATTCACCTCTCCTTTCACTGCATTCACCTCTCCTTTCACTGCAGCCAAATTTATCTCCCTCGCTTGCACATCGTCCAGGGCGTGCTTCAACGCGTTCACCTCATTCTCCACAGCCCATTTCCCTGCTTCCAACATCAACACTCGCTCATTCTGCCACGCCGCCTTATCTGCCACTGCTGCTGCCAACTCTCCCTTCACTGATGTCAGTTCCCCCTTCACTACTGCCAATCCCCCCTTCATAGAAGCCATTTCCCCTCTCACTATCGCAAACAGCCCTCTAACTGCCTCACTAAGCTCATTCACCTCCCGTTCCGCAGCCATCATCTAAATTTGCACCCAAAAAGCGTTCAAATAGGGCTTACAAATGCTTCGTTTTGAGACGTCTCAAAACAAGCGTTCAAATAGGGCTTACAAATGCTTCGTTTTGAGACGTCTCAAAACAAGCGTTCAAATAGGGCTTACAAATGCTTCGTTTCAGCCAAGGTAGCTTCAGCCCTGAAATGTGGACAGGAGTGGGGAACAGTGGACTGGATGCAGAATGAAGTGAAGGGAGCAACTTCATCACAGTGAGGTGTAGCCAGGCAAGTGGAGGGTGAGAGGCAGCAGGAGAAGAAGGGGAGTGGTCGTGGGAAGAGGAAGTCACGTTGTGTATTGAGTGGACAGGAGCAGACAAATGGAGAACACATGCACGGGGGGGATGAGAGAGAGAAGGGGGGAGAGAGGGGGGGAGGTGGGGTGGGGTGGGGGGTGGAGAGGGTCTAGGTAGGAAATTGGTAGGAGATATGCTCACAGGTTGTCAATGCTCGAAGGAAACACAAAGGGCGACAGGGGGAACGGGGGGAGTAGGGGCAGAAAAAGTAAGATGTGATCTGCAATATACGCTGCCCCTAGCGAGCGTCCAGCGTCTAGCGTACAGACGCCAGTGTATATACACTGGACGCTCGCCTCTCTGAGCGTATATTCCCACATAAAGAGACAAGTAGCAGCAGCAAGTGAACAGGGGATACGCAGAAGCAGTGGGAGGAAAAAGCCAGGATTACCACCAGATAAAAGGATGGGAGAAGCAGCAGCCGCGGGGGAATGAGCAAATCCAAACCGGAGCGGTTGCTTTCTCAAGCATATGGTATGGTGCACTGAGTGCAAGAGAGGTGACGAGGCCATAGATGGAGACGAATCGAGTATATGTGCATCGGGGTCAAGCGAATGCCAAAGGAAACCAAAGGTCTAAGAGGGAGCAAGTTTGATAAAGCTCGCGACAAGTGATATGACAGACGTGAATCCAAGGTCGAGGGTGCGGATTTGAGGAGATCAGGAAAATTGGGAGAATGAGCCAGCTCGATGAGACTGACGGCCAACGGAATGACAGTGAGATCTGAATCCAATGGACAGGTGCGAGACAAGGGCGAAAGAGTTGGAAGGAGAGAGCAGAGCGAAGTGATGGAAGCGGATGAAAGAGCACAGTGTGGTGAGAGGTGGATGAAGATAGGCACGCAGTAAATGGAAGCAGCCACAGCAACGGAAGCACTCGGAAGGAATGGCGAGGCATGCTAAAGGGCAAAAGACTGCGGAGAGAAGAAGCCATGATGCGGCGAGTACGGACCTCGTGAGGTGAGTGACGAGGCGAGCAAAGAGATGGATGGCGTGGGCTGGCGCACCTCGTGAGGTGAACCCAAGAATGGATTGGATTGGACTGGAGCACCCGAAGCAGAAAGCGCAATCTGGTGGCAAGAGAAACGAACAGGCCGAAAATGCATGAATTCTGTCAAATGCATTGATTCTTATGACAATGGGAGGAAGAAAACGGTTGGTTAAGAAAGCAAGGAGGAAATAGAATAAACAAAAAAACTCGGTGACAGAAGTAGTAGCAGAAGACGAGAAGATGGGGCAATAATATATTGGACATGAGAAGATGTAATTATAAAACGGTAGTGGCAAGCTGAAGTGTATAGAAACATGGAAAGCGCAGCACGGCAGGGGTGGAAGGGATGGAGCAGGACGCAACGGTAGGAAAAGTGAGGTAGGGAACGGACAGGAGAAGAGGGGCAGCGGCGAGGCACCAGTGACACAACGGAAGAGGGCTGTGCGTACCTTGCGTGTGGAAGGGCAGGTGAGGCAGATGGCAGCGACGAGGAGGCCGTTGGGAGGCAGGAGCTTCTCAGCAGACAGATTGACAACGCTCAGCATCCAGGGGGGAGAAACGTTGGGAGAAAGATTAACGCCACACGAGGTAACGGAGAGGAAGTGTGCTAGCAGGAAGATCTTGGCGGGAGTGGAAAAAATAACTCGATGCTGATGCTGGCTTACAGCGAGGGAAGGGAGAGGGAGCAGGGAGAGGGCCGATGGCAGCATAGGATGATGGAACGAGGGAGGCATGTCACCTCCGAGGTGCCATGAGTCATGCACAGCACGTGAAACGTTGTTGGCAGGGAAGTAGCAGCCTTAGTAGGCTAGGAAAACGAGTATAGAGTGCTCTCTGGAGTTCTCTGGAAATTGCACTATGACTTCACAAATTTGACAGTACAATTTTAAAGAGCACATTCAAACATCGAGTCGCACTCCCAAGTCGCGACTCTCTCTGAATTTCTCGATGGTAACCCAACCCTTTGAAATGAACCTGCCGTGAAATTCAGAGAATTATTGCTGTACGGGATTGGACGGCGAGCTTGGTTACGGGGCTGTAATTTCGTCGGTGTTGTTGGCGAAGTCGGCGAGCGGTCGGAACTTCGGAGTCCTGCGTTTCGTAATTTTCGTGCGTGGGATTGACTTGGGCTGCGTGTCGGAATCTGGTCGCCCAGCTGCAGGATGGGGCGCTTGACCAATCCGAACTGTAGGTGAGGTGGCGCTTGACTTCCGCCCACCTGCACTGTTCTTGGAGTTGAGTTGCTGCACTGTAACGATTGACTTCCGCCCACCTGCATTGCAGTTGGCAGCATTCAGCACGCACTACGCCACCCGTCATCCGCTCGCCTCGCACGCCCATCCTGCCATCTCTCGATGGGTTACAAATTTATTGCACCGCTCGCCTCTCTCGATCCCATTTCGCCAGTCCCTTGTTGTTCGAAGTCCAACCAATCGCATCGACAAATCATGGGTAAACGCATCCCCACAATGTCACCCTCGCCGTGGCGTGACGTGATGGTGTCATGACGTGGCACGGCGACGGTGCCACAGCTGAAAGTCTCGACCGCACCGAATTGACATGCATTGCTTGTGGGCTGTCATCAAATGGAAAACATTAGGGGAGTGACCGTGACCCTTGGCTCAACCGTCGTCTCCAATGCGCTCGATAAATCGACCGTGTGACGTTTCCAATACGTCCTCGTTATAAATAAATAAGGCTGTCATATAAGTTTGATCTGGAGATTGCATCATTAGGGTTGCGTCAGTAGGGCTAGACATTTCGTCAAGGTCGCGTTTGAACTCATGGGGTTACATTACAGCGCAGAATGACTTGCACACTCCCCCCAGCAGCCTCAATGAAACATCTCGACCGTACCGGACCGCGCTGACTTCAATCTGAACTCTCTATTCAAAGTGTTCGTTTCGGGCTTCTCGTTTCGCCCTGATACACACAGGCAAACTGCTGCACAGTCTCATCTGCGGTGACGCGAAACATTTTGGGCCGAATTCGCGAACCTGGGTGTTAGATAGCCCCTCGGAATCTATTCGACAATGCAAATCTTGGCGTGAAAGCACCACAGCAACTTTTCCTAGTTAGCGCTTCACTTCAATTCAAACCTGCAACATAGCAGTTATTGTTTTATAGTCATCTCGAAACTAGTTTCGTGAGTGTGTGTGTGTATGTGTGTGTGTGTGTGTGCATGTGTGTGTATGTGTGTGTGTGTGTATGTCTGTGTGTGTGTGTGTATGTGTGTGTGCGAGTGTGTGTGTGTGTGTGTGTGTGTGCGTGCGTGAGTGGTGGATTCGGTGTGAGGAGGCATGAGTCTTTGGGAGTTAGGTGTGCTTCTTTGAGAGTCACGCCACTCCTTGCCGTGTTGGTTGGAGTGGCGTGCACGGAATACATTTAGCTGCTGAGTTGGATGGAAGTTTGGCGGGGCGCATTCACCCACCCGCACACCACTTTCGTGGGGTTGGGTTACACTGAAGCGCCATGCAACATTTGTGCAACTCTTGCTTGCCTATATTTGGTTTTGAGACGTCTCAAAACTAGATTACTTTCACGCGGATTTTATACAGAGAGATTGTTTGTTGCTTGGAAAGCTGGGTGTAACTTGCAAAAGTTACTTATTCGCGCGAGGCTCCCTAAGCTACAGTTGGCGAAGAATATGAATTCCACGTTACGCCTCGAGGAATGAAGACCCGAGCCCCTCGGTTTTTTCCAGGGTGCTTTGGATTGGCTGCCCATATTTCAGCCACGGTTGTTACGCGCCTAGAATTTGGTTTCTCGAAACGTAGTTCTTACTTAAGGGCTTCGTTCCCACTCTTGTCTTTCATTCTGCTAGCGCTGATGAAGGTTTGACTTGGGGCCTGTCCCAGTCGACCGAAACATGTTCGCGTTTTAATCCTATAGTAAAATAAGAGTTCGGTTTTCAGATTCCTGGTTGTTTACAGGGTCAAACTTTTACTATTGTCTATCACTTGCTAAAGATTTTTACTAGACTGCAGCTCGCCTAAACAAAGCTTCTATGGCTGACGGTTCTTGGGGTGTCACAAATTCTACGGGTGACGCCGGTCTGGTAAAATCAAGTTTCGCACTAGTTCCCCGTGGAGCAGAGCCTTTCCCGAAGACCTACACGGGCTACAACCGCGCCAACAAGCGCTCCCGAAAGGTTGAAGGAGTTCATGCGCTTCCTGCGACAATCCACGAGGACGACGAGCACAACAAGCAAGCTGAAAATTCTCCCGCCATGGCTGAGATGGAAGTTCAGAACGACGGAGTTGCGGATGCGAATCATGCTGCTTCTGTCAACCCGATCGCCGTCGACACGTCCTTCACCATTCCGGAACCTTTTAAAGGTTGGACTACGACGACCGTCAGGGGCTTCAGAACTGACTTCAAAGCACTCCTCAAGGCGAAGTCGAAACTGAAAAAGATGAAGACGCTCAACGACCAAGGTGTTATCTTACACAGCATTCACACCAAGGCCGTGGAATTTCAGACCAAGTACCCTACCACGCGGGAAAAGTCAGCTGCGTCCGTCGCCTCGGTTCATTTTGAGAACTAGAAGCGCATTCAGGCTGTCTTCATTGCGTCCAAGGAGCTAGAGGTCGAGGAAATTCTGTCGGCATCCTCCTCACACCTCACCACTCTGGCGACTAAGCTCGAAGACTACATACAAGGCCTTACTGCTGACCCAGAA